CGTGCGATTGCCCGTCGTACATCCAGTGCTAGGAACGTTAGCGTATTCGGCCACTTGTCTCGGAAACAAGGATATGCATTGACACTTGACGTGTTCAAAGCTGGGATTATTTTAGCACTAACCCATACAAATACCGGCGCCATATTACGCATTGATGGAGTAATTGTTGCTTACAAGGGTAAGTCCATGAGAAAGTACAAATTGTGACCTAAGGCGTTCACTTCGATGATGCAATGGTCGTATCATGTTCGAATGAACCATCCGGATGCGGTACAAAGTCAATTTCGTTTATTTGCCGCTACCGACATTGCTATCGGAGGCCAAGCAATTGGACGTGCCAGCTGTGTGTTGACTTGGACTACGTGCGAAAAAACGTTCGGTGATCCGTCTGATGTGCACCGTCATCGTGAGAATAATTTTCCTTTGTAACGGATACGAGTCGTGCGATCGCCCGTCGTACATCCAGTGTTAGGAACGTTAGCGTATTCAGCCACTTATCTCGGAAACAAGGATATGCATTGACACTTGACGTGTTCAAAGCTGGGATTCAGTTAGAGCTAATCCATAGCGGTAGCTGCGACTCACTACGCATTGATGGAAGACTTAGCGCTTACAGCAGTGCGTCCATGAGAAAGTACAAATTGTGACCTAAGGCGTTCACTTCGATGATGCAATGGTCGTATCATGTTCGAATGAACCATCCGGACGCGGTACAAAGTCAATTTCGTTTATTTGCCGCTACCGACATTGCTACGAAAGCTAAACAAATTGGACGTGCCAACGGTGTGTTGACTTGTACTACGTGCGAAAAAACGTTCGGTGATCCGTCTGATGTGCACCGTCATCGTGAGAATGATTTCCCTCTGTTACGGATACGAGTCGTGCGATTGCCCGTCGTACATCCAGTGTTAGGAACATTAGCGTATTCAGCCAGTTATCTCGGAAACACGGATATGCATTGACACTTGACGTGTTGAAAGCTGGGATTATTTTAGCACTAACCCATACAAATACCGGCGCCATATTATGCATTGATGGAGTAATTGTTGCTTACAAGGGTGAGTTCGTGAGAAAGTGCAAATTGTGACCTAAGGCGTTCACTTCGCACTCAGTGGATTACGCGCCACTCCGCGCTCGTCCTCACCAGGACCCAGCAGTTGGTCATTGACCTGACCTGCACCGCTCAGCGGATAACGTGCCGCACCACGTACGCCCTCAGGGCAAACAGCAACCTCGTTGCTAGCAATTTCGGACATACCAATGTCCAGCATTACGGCCGCCTCGGCCTCGTGCTCGCGCCAGAAGCGCTTCTGCTTCCTAGCAGAGGTGGGTTCATGACTCACCAAAGCTCTACTAGGAGCAGGGTGCGACGCACCCAGCGATTTCGCCTTCCAGTCGATCCATGGCTCATGGCGTTCCAGCCATGCCATGCCAAGGGTGAGGTCATACCTCGCATCCAGGTCTAAGACCAAACAGCGTTCCACGCTATCGAAGGTCTCAAACTTCACTCCAAGGTCGACAGAGACCTTCAACACAGTTACCAGTGTCCCCGTCGCGAGACGGACAGAGATCGTATCTCTCGTTCGCACTTCAAGGGTCTCAGCATACAGCTGACTCCCTTCCAGGGTGGAGCGACGGGCGTAGTTGCCCGAGGCTTCCGAGTCAGTTAAGACTCTCCATGGCTTTGTAAAGGTCTTCACGTTCGCTTGCACGACCAGCAAGCCCGGCTTGCACACACGCTTCTCGTAAGAGAGCTCAGCTCTCTTCGGGGCTGAGCCCCGTTGCCTTCTACCTCTTCGAGGCACAACAGAACTCAGTTCTTCCCCAGTAGGCCGCCCCCGCGCCTACTGGGGAGTTGCCGTTTCCCGGCGATGACCCGGAGGGTTGGCTCGCCGGAGCCTCGCGCTTCTTGCGCAGAGGGCAATAGGCCCTCAAGTGCTTAGTGCTATTGCACACAAAGCATCGGCGGATGCCGGCGCGCTGCTCCGCAGCAAGAAGCTCCGCTTCTTCATCTTCAGCATAGCTGAGGTCCATCGGCTCTGGACCGCTCGAAGAGCTTGCGCTACCAGCGCTCCAACCAGGTCGCGCCGACCTGAAGTTGTGCTCGGCATTCAATGCCACATCCACCGCCTCTTCAAAAGAGTTAGGGTGTACACGGAACACTTCCGTTCGAGCTGCGCTCACACGAAGTCCCTCCATGAATACGGTCACGCTGACCAGTTCCGGAAGAGGGTCCGCCGCCATTTCGGCGATAAGAGTTCTCAACTCTTGGACATAGTCCAATAAATCCTTCTTACCCTGGCGGGTAGCAAGGGAACTTTGACCGGATACGGTACGCCTGATTAGGCGGCGCGAACACGCGCGAAAGCTGTTGCTTCAGCTGATTCCAAGTGGGAAATGCAGCGTCAACAGACGTGCCGCACGTTAGTGCCCATTCGCGAGCGCGACCTCCAAGCCTGGAGATAGCCAGCGCCACGCGCTGATGCTCAGACTGGAGCAGGGCCGATCCCATGGCCATCTCGACCTCACGGGTCCAGAGAAGGAGATTCTCTCCATCCTTCCCCTCGAAGGTTTTTACGCTCACCATGAGCGGTTTCAGTCTCATAGACCCTTCACGCGTCATCGACGCCGCCGCCGTTGCGGCGCTCATCTTCTCTTGGACATGCTCCAAGAGCGCGTTCTCGTAGCGGGAGAACGATTCCAGCCTGGCTGTGACCGCCTCTGGACCTTGCGATGCAAGATGAGCCACGCCCTCCGGGCCAAGCAAGGACATAAGCTTAGTAAGCGCGTCCTGCTGCGCCGGGAACAAATTCGCGAACACGGGGTGTTCCATCCTCGCAGAGGATATAGTCAACCGACTCAGGAGCGGGATTGACTACAAGTGCTACCAAGTGCAGCGGGGCTGCCGTAGCTTTAGCGTCAGAGGAAGACGTTCGACTCAAAGAGTCACTAATACT